GGATGCACCTCTGTATATGGGGGGGATGCAGGGGACTCCCAGGATGCCCTGCGGATGCGGGGGACTCCCAGCAGGTCCAACCCTCAGCGCATCCCTGGGGGATGTGGGGGTTACCCAGAGCAGGGCATCCCACGGGAGATGCAGAGGGTTCACCCCAGGGAACTCTGGGGCTTGGGAATGTCATGATTGAGGGGAACACGGAGGGGAACGGGGAGGGTGGTGCACTCCTGGGCACCTGGGGGGTGTGGGGAGCCAGAGCAGTGATGCCTCTGCTGCACCTGGAGGAGTGGGGGGTCCTGGCCCCCCTGCCCTGCTACCCTGGGAAGTGCAATGAGGGGCTGGGGGCCTTGCCTGGGTCTCATTGCTGAGCCTCAAACTGGGAGACAGGGGATGGACTGAGAGAAGGAGCTGGAGGGGGGCTGCAGGCTCTGTGTGGGGTGCCATGGGCCAGGGCAGGCTCAGGGGGTGTGATTTGGGGTGCCATGGGCCAGGGCAGGCTCAGGGGGTGTGATCTGGGGTGCCATGGGCCAGGGCAAGCTCAAGGGGTGTGATTTGGGGTGCCATGGGCCAGGACAGGCTCAGGGGGTGTGATCTGGGGTGCTGTACCTGGGTACACACCAGGTACACAGGGTGTGTACCAGGTACACAGGGTGTGTGATTTGGGGTGCCCTGCCGTGCTCAGGGTGTGTGATTGGGGTGCTCTGCCGTGCTCAGGGTGTGTGGTTCCGGGTGCTGTGCCCTGTGACGCAGCCCCTGCCCACGACTGGCATTGCCTTCCCTGTTGGTGCCTCACCTGTGGGCACGGGGCCAAGGCAGGGCTGTGGAACCAGCCCAGGAGCTGCCAGCCTGGAAACCTGGGAGCAGGGCCTGTTGTGCAACTTGACCTCAAAGTGCTGGAGGTTTAACGAACAGGAGCTTTTGAAATGAGGGATCAGTTGGAGGATGGTCTGCAAGGCCTCCCCCTGTAACACACTCCAGACTTTTCCTCATGGACAAGTACTGGGAAAGCTGGGAGTTACTCCAGTCCAGGAGTGTGGAGTTTTCTGGCCTAAATCTGGATTTTTTTCCCCCAAAAAAACTGTTCTGTTACCCAGCCTGTGGTAACAGAGTAGAGGAACTATATAAGTTTAATTTAATTCTCCTGTTCCTTCTGGTGGAGGTGGTTGACTCAGGGGCTGTTTTAGTTCTGAACTGAAGAACCACGAGACAGAAAAAAACACAAACCAAAACCAGATACCCCCTCCCCCCAATGTGTGTAATTTTTTTTTTTTAAATTTTATTTTTAACAAGAACATCTGAACTGACTCCTTCAGCTCTGCCTGCAGCATTTGAGTCACAGCAGCATCAGATTGCCAAGCCCTTTCTTCTTTCCCCTTAAAACTCTACAAGTTGTTCCTGAGTGAAAATACTTTGCAGCACACAACAAAAATTTCCCTTTTCCTGTGACTTGCCCTGGAAATCACTGGAAAATCCAGTGATTTTCCAGACTCTGCCCACAGCTGTCATTGCTCCTGGGGGGGACAAGGTTGGGGCTGCCCAAGCCAACACAAACCCTGGGGGCTCAGATGTGGTTTGGGCACCTCATGGGCACAACCAACCCTGTGACACCAACCCAAAGCCACCTGCCAGGCAGGAGAGCCACCAGCTCCCCCAGCCCTGGGGTTTGGTACTGATTAACCTGCCTGGTCACGGGGTTGGCAGGAGATAAACTCCGGTCGCTCGGCGTTGCTTTGGGGTGACTCAGTCTCTGTTCCTGGGATTCCTGGGGTGACTCAGTCTCCGTGTTCCTGGGATTCCAGGGTGGCAGAAGCTCACGGGGGGGTTGCTGGGTGGGTGTTGTTGGGGTGGTGTAGCTGGGTGGGTGATTAGGGGTGGTGTTGTTGGGGTGATGTTGGTGTAGTTGGACTGTTACAGGTGGGCTGGTGGAGCTGATCTGGTGCAGTTGGGTTCATGTTGTGTTTCCCTGCCTGGCCTGGCCCTTGCCATGCTCCCAAATCCTCCAGGAGAGGAGGGAGCAGAGCAGCCCTTCCACGTGGGTCACGCTGGAGGTGAGCTGGGTCCCATGAGGAAGTTGATAGTGAAACTGGAGACATTAATCATTCAACTGCAGCAGCTGAAAACCAACCCTTCCTCATTAACCCACCCCTTCACTGCTGCAGCCACCTCCCTCCTTGCCTTTTTCCACCCTGCTCTTTGGCCCTGGGCCATGTTCACACTTATGGGCATCTCTGAAAGCCTTTGGAAGGAGAATCAGGGTGTGGCCAGCATTGCTTAACCTGGGAAGGTTTTCTTGCTCTTGACCCACTTGCTTTTTAAAGAAAAAGGCTGAAATCACGAGGTGCCGGGGCTGCAGGTCGGGACAGGGTGTGGCACAGAGGGTTCCTTTGCTTCCTTGCAAAGGAGTTTTGAAGGAGGTGGCCAGAAAGGGCACCAGGAGCTGTTTTTGTGGCTCCTGGTGGCACAGGACTCTCGTGTCACTGCTCCTTGGAGCAGGTCAGCAGGATGGGGATGTTGTACCCCGTCACCTCAGCGGCTGAAAGGGCCTGTGAAAACTGAAATACAGCTGTGCAGTTTGCCTGTGCAAGAGTCATCCTTGAAAATAAACCCCCAGTAGGCTCCAGGGATGCTGCAGCCTCCCAAAAAACTCTGAAAAACCTGCTGAAGAGAGTCCAGAGGAGGCCCCGGAGATGCTCCAGGGCTGGAGCCCCTCTGCTCTGGAGCCAGGCTGGGAGAGCTGGGGGGGTTCCCCTGGAGAAGAGAAGGCTCCAGGGAGAGCTGAGAGCCCCTGGCAGGGCCTAAAGGGGCTCCAGGAGAGCTGGAGAGGGACTGGGGACAAGGCATGGAGGGACAGGACACAGGGAATGGCTTCCCAGTGCCAGAGGGCAGGGATAGATGGGATATTGGGAAGGAATTGTTGTGTGTGAGGGTGGGCAGGCCCTGGCACAGGTTGCCCAGAGAAGCTGTGGCTGCCCCTGGATCCCTGGAAGTGTCCAAGGCCAGGTTGGATGGGAATTGGAGCAACCTGGGCTATGGAAGGTGTCCCTGCCCATAGAGGGGGTGGAGTGAGATGAGCTTTGAGGTCCCTTCCAACCCAAACCAACTTGTCCCCCTGCAGCTGTCCCAGGGGTCCCCCAGAGGGTTTGGAGGCTGCACATGGAGCAAAGGTTTCCCTTCAGTTCCATCGTGGCCCTGTGGACACTCCTGTGCCCTCCCTCCCCCTGCACCGACCCTGAGCAAAACTTGGCACCTGAGCCTGCAGGTCTTCAGTGGTGCTTGGACATGGGGCTGAACCCCCAAACCCCCAACTTCCTCACCAGCACCAAAGCTCACAGTTTTCCTGGCCGGATTCAGGGATTCTGGGATTGGGGCTTTTTGTTTCAGTTGGCACTGAAGGGAGAGGAGCTGGAAGGATGGATGGTGCACTGAGGTGCTGTGCTGCATCAGGTGAAATGATGCAGGAGTTCTGCACTAAAAGGGATTTTTAATGCTGTTCTCGATTTGTTTTTTAATTTGCAAGGGAAAACCCAGCACGGCTGGTGCCTTTTAAATGCACTCTGCTGCGAGTGGTGCATTTAATGAGTCTGAAAGGAAGCCATCTCTAATTGGAGGCCATTTTCATGGGCTTCCGAGTTGAAAACGTGAAGTTCTGCCCCTTGAGCAGCTCCTGGAGAGGTGGAATGAGGGTCTCCATGGGATCCAGGGACTCTCTGCCCCATCCTGACTCCTATGGGTCCCACCAGCTCCACAGGGTGGGGCTGGGATGGGGGTAAAGAGGAATAAATCAGGAAGGAGGGGATTTTTTCTCAAATAAAATCAAAATCAAATCAGGTAAATCAAAGCCACCTCCAGTGATTTGGAGGCATCAAGGTGATCCTTTGTGAACCTCCCTGAGCATCCCTGCTGAGGGAAGTGACCTGCTCACACTGCAGGTTTTGTTTTCTGCCATGTCCTTTTCCTACACTGATTTTAATGATGAGAAATGTGTGTTTTGAGTTGATGCTGAGCCATCTTTAATTAGTATCGATTGCAGGGCATAATTAGGAGGTTCATACCCATAATAAGCACACAACAGGGCATATCTCTTAATAGTGGGACAGAGCTGGACCCTCCTCCTGCCTCTGAGTGGCTGATGGGCTCCAGTGCAGGAGGGGAAGGGCCGTTCCAAGGGAAAGAAATGAAATATCAAAGCAAAATAAATCAATGAAATTAGCTTGTGAATAGGGGGAAAACTGTTTACTGAGGAGCTTGAGATGGTCACAGGATTTCCTAAGAAGTGATACAGGAGCTCAAAACACCCAGTGCTGTAAATTTTGAAATATTTGGGAATGCAGAGGTAAATATTTGGAAAGTAGTATTTGAAATAAACTCCTTCCAGCGCCTGCAGGGGAATTTCTTGTTGCTCCCTGGACTGCTGGGTGGGACAAAGGAGGTTATGGGTTTGTGGTAGCTTCAGTGAGGGTTAGAAAAAGAAGGAAATAGCCTGGGCTATTTCCCACCATGGGCTCCTGGGGATGCTGTTCCTCAGTTTCCCTGCCTGCCAAGCGGCCTTTGGGGAGGGGAAGGGTGGCAGAATGAGCTGCTTTCCCCATGGTGCTGAAATCCATGTTTCCCCCTTCCTGTATTAGACTGAAATTATTTTGCAAATGTGTTCCTGCACTGAAAGGAGGCTCCTGCAGGGCAGGACTTGGTTAGACTGGAGCCTTGCATGGAGCAAAAAAACACGTGGGTGTCTCCAGGACTCGCGGTGTCTTTTCCCACCTTGGCTGGTTGTTGTCAGTTCCTGCAGCTCTTTTCTTTTTTAGCAACTCTTGGGGGTGGTTTGGCACCATTTCTGTGACATCTCCTGGGCTGGTGGGAAGCTCTGAGCAAAACTCCTGGAGCAGCAGTGTGGATTCCTGGGAGGTTTTCCTATGGATCAACCTGGGCACGTGTTTTGGGGCCGGTTTGTGCCCCTCTGCCACGGGGCTGCTCTCGTTGCAGGCGTCCTGTCTCTGTGGCTCTGCTCCGTGTCTGCTCTGTGGCTGCTGCCCCTCGGCCAAGAACTCCACCATCTCCCGCCTCCTCTTCACCTTCTTCCTCTTCCTCGGCACTCTGGTGTCCGTCATCATGATAATCCCCGGCGTGGAGAAGGAGCTGCACAAGGTAAATAACTCCTGGAGGTCACTGGGGAGAAGTTCAGTTCCCCGTGAGTACGTGAGGCTGAAGCAGAAAGGGAATTTTTGGGGCATGATGTGCTTCTGTTCCTCTTTGTCTGAGCACCTCTCTGGAAGAAGTTGTTGTTAACCCCGGTTTTCCACAGAGGGGAAAATGCAGTGGGATATAATTT